TAGAAATTGAACAATCAATAACTTGTTCTAAATTGGTTTCCAAATTTTCATATGTGCATCACAAGAGACGAGAAATTTTTTACACAAAAGGAATCAGAATTAACTTCAGTTCTAGATTCATGTTTGAGAAACCCAAAATAGATTTGAGGCAATGATTGGTGAGACGAAATCAGAAGGAAAGGCAGCTAAGAGCTAGAAGTAGAAGTGAAGATTGGCTGGTGAGTGTTGAGTGTGATGGTGTAGTGCTCAAGGTGTTGATCGAGTCGAAGAAATAGCATCTGGTTTGCCTGTTATGACACCGAGGAGGGTCGAAGTCTTTCAAGATGAAATTTTGTCAAGTCCAAAAAGGAGTTTATTGCACGGATAAACTCCCTTTTGGCGTTTATCCAAAGTCTTGTTTTAAACTCCTTTTGGGACGGGGAAGGAGTTTATTTTGGGGTACCATAAGTGGTCCCAAACGTCTTTTTTCATCAGCGATTATTTTGAAAAATAATCGCTATTATTCAAAATAAACGCTGAAAATAAACGCTACCAAACGTACCCTAAGGGATCCATCTGCGCATTTATATCAGTCTTATCATCACCGAATATGTACTCTAAACCCTACATGCTTCTATGTAGATGTAATAGAAGCTTCAGTGAGCCGGACTGATCGGGTAGATTTTGTTGGCAACCTGACAATGTCATGGCACTCTTCGGAACCTTCCCGGATGATTGGGACTTGTTCATGATAGTTTTGATCATGAGTCAGGACGGTGTACAGGGAAACCTTCAAAGGGATTGTGAGCTATCGTGAGCCAAGACATAGGAAAGTGTCTTCGCTTTCAAAGTGACTAAGGCTCAAAACAACGCAGATGAGTTGAAATGTGAGAATCCTTCAGTTCTGAGCCTTTGAGCAAGAAGTCTTTGATGAAGTCTATGATGAAGAATTGTTGAAGTGCATACCTATACGTGTACAGTCAATCTCACAAAGCTTGACATGACTTCCAAGTCAAATCACTGGGATTTTGCAGACAAACCTCGGTCAACCTTTTTGACTTCAAGTGTATATTATATGATGATGATGACGATGGATGACTACGAAAACGCACCGTTCAGATTTCCGCATGTTGGCCTAATCACCAGCGAGTGGTGCGCGTACTTATGGAGGTTCAGCCCGGTTCAGCCGTGATGTTTTGTTGGCATCGCTTTACTTGAGGTATAACAAGAGGTTTGGATCGCAGACGAAAGTCCAATTTCACGGAATAACACTGTGAGTGTTGGAATAATTGCAAAAACTGGGCTTCATCCAAGAACAATAAGAGCAAGAATACCCCACAATAAATGTCGAATTGGAGGCACAATAATGAAAGAAAAAAAGAAACTGTGTGTACAATTAAATTCCACAAAAAAATACTCACCGGAGATCCAAAGGGGAAAGAAAAAGGTCGACATTTATTATATAATGATGATGATTCTGGAAAGAAAGTTGAGATTTGTTTCTTACTAGCACCAACGAACAAAGATAAGTTCCGATTTTTTAAAAATGAATTAAAAAAATCGGAACTTATCTTCGTTGGTGCTAGTAGC